ATTAAAAAATAAATCAAAGAAAAAAGTGATCTTCAATAAGCCCAATACCTGGGACATGCTACCCATTGAGAACCCATCCCTATATGTTTGGCTTGGTCCTTGACCTGTTATCTATATCAGGTGAAAAAAGAAAAACTCAGAATTTGAACAAAGTCAATATCAAAGCAGAACACAAATTAAGGGAAAAAAGATACATATACTAGAATTTCCACTAACATTGGAAACATATCCTGGTTGAGACAATGGTCCACCCACAGATGGTTGGGTCTTCGGATTTTCCGAAGCTGAAAAATTGAAGTTAGACCCAAAATTTCCAATGGATTGTTGCGAAATATGGCTGCCCACAGCAGCACCAGCATTCCCATGCCCAGCACCAAAACCTTGGCTTCCTGGTTGTGGAATTTGAGGAACAGTTCCAATATGTCCTTGTACAGCACCACGAGTAGGAATGGCATATGGCTGAGCTGGAGAGGTACCGTGGTAAGGGATGGGCACTCGAGGCATTGAATAACCCGCAGGATGAACACCTGGTTTGTGGGTACCACTGGATGGGCCAGGTGGCGTGTAGGAACCTGCTCTAAGAACAAATCTTTTAGCTGCTGCAGATAATAGAGAACTATGTTTTCTGCTTTAAGCATCAAAAACAATTATTCAAGCATGCCTTTTTTCTCATCTTAACATCTTTTTCACAGAGTTCATCTTGAAATTAGTCTGACAACTTGCACTATTTAGGTAACAACTGAAAGCCAACTTACCCCTGGAGCGACTGCTACTCCTATCGGCATTAAGGCTTGATGAAGCACTGGATCCAAAACTATCATTATGAGTAATTCCTGCCCCACCACCAAGGAAAAGTCTACGATCATTGTAGATCTGTGCCACATGAACGCCACAACATATTTCAATGCATCATAAATAATCTCTACCAACATTTAACACAAGCCTTTCATCGAATGCCTCACCTTTTTTGGCTTTTGAAACTGAACCATACTTTGCTTTAAATTATTTAGAGGTCCTTCAACCAAGCACTCATGTTCCTGATAAATTAGAATTTCAGAAAGGATATGATGTAGAACTAGATTACTTCCAACATTAAATGATAATTCCAAAATGATTCATTATATCCCAGCCCAAAAGAATATTTGGACAAAATTCCATCCGACCAACCAAATATTGCCAACTTAATACATCAATATACACAAATCATGACAGAATAGCAACACAAAGCAGAAAGCAAAGAAAATACCTTATAGTGCGTCAATAATCCATTCCATAGAGGCTGTCTGCTAAGCACTTTTGGATTTCCCAAGATAACAATACCATAACGAGCACGTGTGAGGGCAACATTAAGCCGGCGTGGATCATTAAGGAATCCAATGCCCTGAATATAGGCAAAATGAGATTAGATCACATACTAATCAAATTTTTAACATAGCCATGAAAATGGCATGTGCAGAAAACACACCACCACCCCTCTCAAATCATAAAATTCACCAAAAACCAATTTGAAGCACAAGCGTGGAGTATATGCTCCACTAGCTTAATTCAATAGATCATCTAGCCTGCACCAGTCATCGCTTAAGAGATACTGGAAAAATATAACTTGATGTTATCAACAATAAAACATAGGGTCACCGCAGAACACTGGCAAGTAGGTACCACCAACAATGCAAGATATATCAATAAGGATTGCAGTTATTGTGCCAATGTCTCAAATTATATGTAAAATACAAAGTTGGAGATTTTCAGATTGCATTCCAAGAAAAAACCAAAAAAAAACTAGTAAACTCACTTGATGTTCATTACTCCTCACGCAAGACAAGATTATATAATCTTTTTCCCTTCCTTGAAATGAATCCACGCTTGCTACCTGAGAGAAGTAAAACTTGTATTTCCTTCGCAAAGTTCTACAAAAAGACTTGATTCATGTTGCGATTAGTATGCGTTGCAAATCTCACCTCAATTTCTTTGTATAGCTGCTGTCTTAAAGCACCATTTCTTGACATATAATTTACAATGTACGCTCGTTGACCTTCATACGGTGTTATAACCCCAATCTATAGAGTTTCAAACATAACTGTCAGCGTAAAATATAAAAATCTGCCATTGAGTAGAGCTTTAAAACTAAAGAAGATCCAAAGGCACCTGACTAGGAACTACGCCACTCTTCAAAAACGTAGTTACAATTTTTTCAACATTTGCAGCCTCCGTCCTATTTAAATAGGAAGTTCCACTAGCACTTATTTCCTCTTGTCCCATCTACAGTAGACAACTATGCAGATTTAGCATACCTTTGAAGAACTAAAGAATAGAAAGTGAGAAAAAAATAGAAGAGAGTAGACAAGTGTGCGTGACTTCTAGAAATGCAAGGAAATTATAGTTGAAACTGATATTGATCAGGCATCTAACTTCCATTTAAAGAGAGAAGAAAAAAACAGTAAAAAGTCTGACATGAAGGTGGAGAAAAACGTAGAGGCTTTTAGTAATAAAAGAAAAACTGGCCCATGTTTTCGCATTTAGCATATGTTTGGCCAGTGTTATAAACAATAAGTTTTATAAACAGGTAGAAATGGCGGGTAAGTGGGTAATACTTGTAGGTCCAACAAAATATATGGCTAAGAATTGGTTTGCCAAACATACTCTTAATAAAACATTACACCCCTGCAAAAATCTTTCACAAACGTGCACAAAATCCATATCAACCTCTCCACAAAGGCACTAGGGCTGAAATTAATATGTTTCATGTGAAACAAAACCACAAAAAGCAATATACCTGAACATAGAAGAACATGGGACGGTTTGGCACTGGCCAGGGAAAATCAATTCCAGGTGATTGCCTTTCATTAATGGTCACTCCATTTTGAAGAGTACCTTCATAAAAGCTGTTGGATGGGAACTCTGAAAGTGAAGGATGCATCCTATATTGAACCTAGGACGAGAAATTCAAAGACAAGGGGTAATGTTCAAATTCTTTACAATATGAGGCGGCTAAGTAACAAAACACGTGGGTAAACAACCATAAAAATAAGACAAGGTAAAATAAATGATAATTTAACATAGGAACACACTAAATAATGATGACAAATGTAGCTAAGGTCAAGCAGTTGTCTGATACAACCATCTCACGCATCAGCAACTCAAATTTGTGCATATAGTATGATCTCTCTATTGACAGAAGTTTCAAGTCATGGTTTCTAATACATTAATTGGACAACAATAAAGCAGAGTACAACAGCACAGGCAATCAGGTAAAAATAAAATACAGCATTTAATCAAGAGGCAAGGGAGCAGCGGTATGCAGTTGTTTAAAAATGCTATTTGAGGGTCTTACATAGAATACCGCCTATGCAAAGCTTCCATAAAAAGGCCACAAAGCTTACTCCTTATGTGCCATTTTTGAGGCTTATGATTCAAGACTAGGCGCAAAGACACTAAGGTGTTTTCCCATCAGTGTTGCATTTTCTGGGAGTTTGATTACTAGCCTTAGCCTTTTACACTGATTTTTTTCTAATCTATAATATTTTATGGGTTTTTTGTAATTTTCTCTGCACCTTTACACTCCGGAAAGGGAAGAAGAAAACACCATTACTATTTACTAGTGGAGGATTATGGCAAAGATTGATTATTGATGAGGAGCATGATGCTTAAAAAAGTTCCTATGGTTTCATTAATCAACTCTAGATACATAAATAAAGGCAAACAATTAGCACAAATCTTTCTCTGACAAGTACATTAAGACAAGCAAGCATCATTTACCTGCAATCTAATTGGCTTCACACCAAGTAGCACAAGACGTTCGAACAGTGATTGGGCTAAACCAGCACGTGCTGCTTTCTTGCACATAATGACTGGACCAAGCTGGCAGTGGTCACCAACAAGAACAACCTAACATAGAACTTCAAGTTAGAGTCAAAAAGATTTAAGGATGAAGTTACAGTTTTTTAATACCTGTTTTGCCCCAAGAACCAAAGGGATAATACACTCAGGCTCTGTTGCTTGAGTAGACTCGTCAATAAGCACCTATTAACACATTTAAAATAAATAAAATTAATACAACAAAATTAGGAACAAGAATACTAACTATAATGATCATTGTAAGGTGGCCTCCTCTGCTCAATTTTCTTCATTTTACCTGGCGGAATCTGAAATTTGATAGACGGGGATCTCCAGCACCAACACACGTGCAACAAATGACATCAGCACTCTGTGATATCTCCCTCTCTGTTGCTCGCTTCAGAGCTTTATATTTCTTCTCATCACTACTGGATAACTCTCCTGTAAAATTTAGAGGATCAGAATCAACTAGTAGAGATGATAATTTGATAAGCAACTAAAACCTGTAGGTTCAGTGGTATATCAGAATACAATGTACTACTTCATCAAAAGAAGAAACTCAGGATACCATCACTCTCATAGTTAATTGACATTACAAATTCTAGGAAATCTCCAATATTTAGAATTTGTTGAAAAAAGGTCAGACGACAAGCTCAAAAGAGAAGCATTCCCAATTCCGTGGATGTTTGGTTTTCATTACTTAAAAATATGGTCCATGGGTTTTGGTCAGGCATGAAAAAGATGATAAACACAAGAAAAGATGAAATTGCATAGAAAAAAAAAAATAAAAGTAACATGTTCACAAACTAAAGCTGCACTGCTTAGAATTTGTTGAAAAAAGGTCAGACGACAAGCTCAAAAGAGAAGCATTCCCAATTCCGTGGATGTTTGGTTTTCATTACTTAAAAATATGGTCCATGGGTTTTGGTCAGGCATGAAAAGATGATAAACACAAGAAAAGATGAAATTGCATAGAAAAAAAAAAATAAAAGTAACATGTTCACAAACTAAAGCTGCACTGGCCATTGTTTATTTCTTTTACACCTCAGACTACATGTTAAGCCTCCAGTCTGATCTCCATAATAAATTACTACTCAATCAAGCTGTGTAAGAGACATGATTCCACATTTCACATTCATGGACGACCGCACACTTGTTCTTTAAACTTCAAATGGAAAATACAGCCTCAAATTTGAGTTTACGGCATTTAACAAGGGAAAATTATGCAGAAATGGGAAAAAATTTCAAGTCTTGGCTCTGGAATTGCACCCAGTCAAACAAGGACCTTCAATAAGACAAGACCAAACCCTTGCAACATAATTTAAAGTTTCATATTTAGGACTACAACTTTTTCATGTATATTCAAATATACTACATAGGACTCTCAAAGTCTCTTCAACGATAATAACAAAATATGGACTTGAGTCTTTCCTGAAGTCAATATAAAATGCACCATAAAATATATAGTCAAGACATACTTTGCAGTTTATATCTGATCAGCTTCTGTTCTTTTCTCACTTCTTTCACACTTTCTTTATCAAATGTTATCCATACAACGACTTCGTACAATCCAACATCATATATTGGTACATATCATGACATTTGAATAAGAAAGAACTATATGAAACGGTTAAAGTAAAGGCAAATTACCCAAACAACAATGTTTAAAGCTTCGTAATTACAATATAATAGATTAATTCCAAAAGATACTCAGGCCAGCCGAACAACATCGAGCTGATCAATAGAAATACTCCACCTTTGTCATATCACACCACCACTACAAAAAAAGGGGGAGGGGGAGAGAGGAAAAGAAAGAAGCAAAACAAGAAAAAAAAAATCCCACCTTGTTCATCTTTCAGTTGCTGTAACTTGTGAAGTTCACTTTTTTCAGATGTATCAAGATGCCGAACCTGTAAACAAAAAATGAATTCATGAGATCATAAACACGAGACCCAAATGTGCATAACGATTAACTTATGAGTTATAACTAATAAAAAACCTGATAATGCAGGGTTAAATGCTCCACAGGAGAACTAACAGCTTCCCTTGACTTTGCACAGAGTCTGACAACCTGAACGTCAACAAATTAGTGCATAAAAAGAATACAAATACTCGTATATATCTGAAAATTTTGTCAGTTTTCGTTAACTTTGCGTTGTACTATTTAGTTCATGTCAACGAAAAAAACAATTTTATACAACAAATTTGCCTTTAAGTCACTAAACATTTCTCACATTATTTTGGCTTTCATAATGTTTTAATGATAAAATATCTCGTAATGTTATATTCCAAAAGTTCAGAATGGGGTTTGTCTTGTCCTTCACATGTCAAAAAAAAATAAATAAATAATAATAATAATAATTAATAAATAAATAAATATATATATATATATATATATTTTAATAGAAAAATATAAACATATTTATATTTTAAAAGAAATCTCTTATATATTATAACTCTGGATAAAAAAAAACAATTTGATTATTTAGACTTAGACTTAAGAAATACCAGTAAAAAAGTACAAACAGTTTGTAATAATATAATTAAGTGTAATTTAGAAAATAAGCCACAGATATTTATAACTATCTTAGTCACATCGCCTGGCGATCCCAACATTCTACTGTTCTCTAAAAGGCCTGCCTACTCTATTATAGTCCAGCTTGGAGAACATAGTACTAGGACTTACTAGACTACTTATTTTCCATCAGAGTGCATAGAGAAGTGTGGTGGCAGTAGTAGTAGTAGCAATAGTAATTGTAAGTGTGAAAAAGAAAGAGAATGCCAAGACCTTTTGCTCCCAAAAACTTTTCTATTTAAAGAGACAGTTTCATTTGGTTAAAGCAGAAGTTTACGACTTTTTGACTAAATTTTCATTATTAGAAAAGATGTCAAAACTTTTTAAAAAGAAAGATTCCCACTTGAAATTTTAGACACTTGTTAGATTTTTGATTGGCCAAAAGCTTTTCGGTGAAATGAGTGCCTTTTCCACTAAGGGTAGTTTGTTTTTGGATTGAGAATTTTTCTGGAAGAGAGATTTCAAAGGTTTTTTAGATACCAGAACCAAAAACAGCCTACCCCTCCTCCCCCCATTTGGTATCAGAGCAAAAGAGGAAGTAGAGTGGGACGTAAAAGAGTCTATGATTTTAGAACTTACAAGCTTAAGAAATAATAAAAGTAGTAGTAGCAATAATAATTGTAAGTGTGAAAAAGAAAGAGAATGCCAATTACTAGAAGAAGATAATTTATTAGGACTTCTAGAAGAAGATAATTTATTTGGACTTATAGAATTAATTGATAATACTATAGATGATGCTTATAACATACCAGATAAGACAGTTTTAATAAATAAAATAGAAATGTTAGAATATAATAATAAAGGAAAAATAATAAAAATAGAAGAACAAAGTCAAAGTACAAAAGCTAAAGAAAAAGAATATGTTCAGGTAATATGTAGTCCAAAAAAACTTAAAAGTATTAAAGTAAAATGTTACATAAGAATAGGACATTATGAAATAAAATGTTCTGGTGGACTATATTTAACTAAGTAATCAAATTTTTCGCTGGGTTGTCCTAAAAGATCCCAAATCTCTTTACCCTTTTCTGTAGCAGATTTATCAGTCTGCTGAGTCTGATTATCTAATTTAGTAGAGGAATCAACAGTCCCCTGAATCTGTTGGGCTTTTGGTAAGTCCACAACATTCAACAGATTTGATAAGTCTTTACCGGCTACCGTTTGAGCTGGACTAGCTATTGACTTATTGGGCTCCATAGTACCTGTTGGATATTTGACTTTTAAATCCAAAATCTCTTTTTCAAGTTGGGCCACTTCTTTTGGAGTTGGATTCTTTCTAATGAAAGGTTCTGATTGGCTTCATTAATAACTTTATAATTTCTTTGCATACACTCACAATATGGGCAAAAAATATTCTGGTCTTTACTTGGAGAGAAGTCTAATGGAGGGTCAGAGTAATTTTTTAAAGAAGATAAATAAAAATTTATTCCTATATGCTGTCTTGCTGCATCTAATGCTTCTTGGAAATTTGTAAAACCTTTGTAAAGAGGATCTGGAAAATTTTTAATACAGTCTAAAACTTCTATCCAAGAATGGAAAATTCTTGGATTTTTTCCTTTAATAACAACATAAAATTTAAATCTTTGCTTGTTCTGACTAAAATGTTCTGATAATGCATTCATACATGCAAGAAAATATTTTTGATCTTTTGGATTCTTGTTATATGAAATCCATAAATTATCCAAAATACATTTTTCTTCTCTAGATAAAGAAATATGAGGTAAAATTTTGAAAGAAATATTACTAATTGAAAATACTATAAGTTCTTGGTTTCCAAACTTTAGTTTGTTTTGTAACATTGGTCTGTTCTGATTAAATGAAGTCTGTGGTAAAGAACTTGATGCAAATGAATTCCCTGGTGGAATTCCTGGTCTTAAAGGTCTTAGTCTTGTCATCTGTATAATAAAATTATGTTAAACAAATTTAATAATTTCTATCTATTATTATTCTACTTAGTATATCTGCCGTTTTATTATCATTACCTTTAATATGCTCAAATTCTATATTAATTACTGTATTTGTAATTCTATCTATAAAATTTAACTATCTTCTTCTACTACTTTTTGAATCTATTTTCATTTTATTAACAAAAGAAGCTATAGCTACACAATCTGTTCTTATAGTTATTTCTTTCTTAGATATAATAAATAATTCAAAACTATCCAATGCATAATTTATGGCTAATAATTCTGCATCAATGCTACTTAATTTCCTTTTTCTTTATAATTTCCACTATTGTATCTGCAAATTCTTTCTGTACTTTTATCAGTATATTTATTAGGTTTACATATTAATATAGCTCCTCATCCTATCATACTTCCATCTGTTTCTATAATCAAATATTTTGAATCTAATGGCATGACTAATTCTGGTAAGATTTTTATTTTTTCTTTTATTTGTTGTACTAATTTTATGTCTTCTTGATTAAAAAATCTTTGTCCTGTAAAAGATGTCTTTGCATATAAGGATCCTGCTATTTTTCCCAAATCTTTTATAAATGGTCTAGCATAATTTACTAATCCTAAAAATTTTTGAATTTGCTTTAAATCTTCAAACTTATCTGAAAATTCTAAAGCTTTCTTAGCAATATGAGGTTGTAACTTAATTTTTTCTTCTCCTATGTTAACTCCTAAAAAGTCTATAAATTCTTTGAATAAAATCATTTTCTTTTTACTAATTATTAAACCGTGTTTAATAAATTCTGAAAATACTATTCGTAAATGTCCTCTATCTTCTTTTTTATTTTTACTAAATACTAAAATATCATCTATGTATACTATTACAAACTTACTATGTTTATTAAAAATATTTTTCATTTTTCTTTGAAAAATACTAGGTGCATTTTTAATTCCAAATGGCACTACAAGCCATTCAAAATGTTCTTCTGGACAAGTAAAAGTTGTCCATTTAATACTTTCTGGATGCATTTTTACCTGCCAAAATCCTGATTTTAAATCAAATTTACTGAAAATTTTACAGTCTTGTATTTTATTTATTATAAGTTTTTGCATTTCTTCTAAGCTTTCTATTCTTTTTCTAAGAATTTTTATTTCTGAAGTTTCAATTCTTTCTTTTGAAATTTCTGGGTTAATTTCTTCTTTTTCAATAAGGTTCTTTTCTTCTAAATATTTTATACATGCTTCTTTATAACATTCTAAACATTTAGCTCTAAACTTTCTTACTGGATACCAATTGCATAAATAACAAGCTATATTATCTGCTCCTTTATATTTTTGTCAATTATGTAAACATTCTATAATTATGTTATTCATTAAATTTAATTCTTCTTGTAATCTTATGTTAGAGAATTCATCTATTATTTCATAATCAGATTCTCTATTTTCTTCTAAATTTTTATCTTCTATTGATATAATACTATAAATAGATTCTTTGTCTGAGATGTATTCATCTAATTGTATTAAATCTTCATTAGTATATTCTATTAGTATACTTTTCTTATCATAATTATTTATTCTTTTTGGACAAGTCTTAGATAAATGTTCATTACTATTACAAACATTACAGCTAAGTCTATTTTTATAAGTTCTTTCTGGTTTAAATTTCCTAACATGTCTTTTTTCATCTAAATATGATTTTCTTTTATTGGATTTTCTAAGAAAGTATCTTTTCTTAAAAGGTCTTTTATTATTTCTTTCTTTATTACTATATTTATTTTTTCTTGAACTAGAAGCTCCACAAGTTTGTGGAATAAAAATATCTTTACAGAATTTATAATCTGTCTTTTTAAGTTGTTTTTGAATTTATAATTCTACTCTTGTCTCAAAAATTCCTCGATTATATAATATTTCTGGGTTAAGAATTCTTAATCCATTAGTTTGAAATCTTAAATAATCTTGTTGAGGATCTATAATTTCTTCTATATTTTGATTATATTGTACTGGTCTATTTAAAATTCTTTCTATTATGTTTCTGCTTATACTTGAAGTACTATTTCTAGATGTAGATGCTTCTTCATTTATCGTTCTAGATCTTCCTAAGAAATGATTTGTATTCATCTTGGAAATTTATACTCTTTAGGTAATCTTCTAGTTACTTTTTCTTTTCCTGTTTCTCTAAAACTTAAAATTTCTAATGTATTTGTTAAAGCTTTTAAATCTTTTTCTATACTTGATGTAGATATTATTTCTATTTCTTTAGATTTATTAGAACCTAAAATTCTTTTTATTTCTGTTAAATCTACTTTAGATGGTATTTTTTTTAATTTAACAAGTTTTTCTAAAATACTTGAATTTTGATTTTTAATATAATCTAAAGATTCTTTTATATTTCTAATTTCTTGATCTCTAACAGTAATATTTTCTTTTATAATTTCTAAATAATTAATTTTCTTTTTATTTTCTAATTCTAAATTTTTTGATAAATTTATGATTAAGTCTATTAAATAATTCTGACTTGGATTTTCTGAAAATAAATTATGTAATTTATGCTTATTTTCTAAATTACACTTAATTATATTACTATCAATTGTTTGTATTTTTTTATCGGTATTTCTTAAGTCTAAGTCTAAATAATCAAACTGTCTTTTTGTATCCAGAGTTCTAATATATAAGAGATTTCTTTTAAAATATAAATATGTTTATATTCTAAAGAAGAATCATGAAGAAGAAAAAGAAATTGCAAAATGTCCAGATCAAAAGGAAAAAGATGAAGCTAATCATTCCAAACTTTCAGAAGAAGATGAAGATCCACAGAACAAAGGATACAATAATTCAGACAGTGGAATGTCATTTTCATCAGTGGCACGCTATAATCTTGATACATGATAAGATTCTCAATAATGCAGAACAAGACAATTTTTTATGGAAGAAAATAAGAAAAAGCTGAAGATTTTTTTTAGACTTTTTGACTAAATTTTCATTATTAGAAAAGATGTCGGAACTTTTTAAAAAGAAAGATTCCCACTTGAAATTTTAGACACTTGTTAGATTTTTGATTGGCCAGAAGCTTCTCGGTGTAGTGAGTGCCTTTTCCACTAGGGGTAGTTCAGACTTTTTGCTCCCAAGAATTTTTCTATTTAAAGAGACAGTTTCATTTGGTTGAAGCAGAAATTTACAACATGTGTACTCTCTGCTATCTAAAAAACCTTTGAAATCTCTCTTTCAGAAAAATTCTCAATCCAAAAACTATTGTACAAGTGAAGTTCTTGTGAATATTTTAAGGTATTCTTATTTTCTTAAGTTTATTTTAGAACTTTAGAGACTTCCTAAAAGGAAAATCCTTAGTTGTAAATCTTTTAAAGATGAATTTATAAATCCCTGATTTATATTTTACTTCTTTATTTATGTTTTTCTTGAAGTAAATATTTGTTATATTTCTCATTTCATCTTATGCATATAATAAAAGTATAACTTGATTTCTAGAAGTCATACTGTTTTTAGGTTAATCCTGAGTGACCCAAATAAGTGAAAACTTTTGGCCGGAGTGAACCTTTTGATGTTTTCTAGAGATGCTAGGGAAAGGGATAAATTAATCTAAGAATTTTATAAGGGAGTGTCACGAGTAACCTTATAAAAAGAAATCAGGTTCAAGTTTATATGTCATAGGTGGTGAAAAAAAAGGGGGGGATTTATATATGATTCTAAGAAAAGATTTATAGAAAACTAAGGAGAGTACTGAGTAGGATTAAAGTTATTAAAAACTAAAAGTCATCAACAGTAGCAACAGCAACAAACAAAACCAAAAACAGCCTACCCCCCCCATGTAGGGCATGCCACATGGTGTTTAAAACACGACTGCATATATCAGGAAAGTGTCCCTTGAGTGTTGTGAAAATAAATAATATACAGAAAAACTGAGATGTCAGACACATCCTAGAGTTTTTGAGAAGCGTTTGTGCCCACTGTCAGACACCGACGCTCCACCCTAGGTGTGTCCATGCTTCAAAAGTGAAAACTGAACATTAAGTCTTAAAATATAAGAGCTAATCAACCAGATAAAAATCGTTTAACAACCTCTAAAATATATAAATAAAAAGAAGCATGAAAAAAAAAATGTGCATCAATAGTGGGATGATTTCAACATCATAAATAGCCACTACGTCGCAAAGAATCACTAAGCATCTTAAAAACATCGTCCCATTCTAATGGTCATTCATGACGAACGCCATGAAGCAAAATATTCAAAACCACAAATCACAAGTTACAAAAGTAGCTTTACAGGCAAAAGCTACCAAATTTCGGTGAGAAATAACTACTTAATGAAACTGGGCGAAAGAAAACAAAGTATTCTAGGCAAGATTTCGTAAAAGATGCAATTTAATACCTTCAAACCAGTGGCACTTATCTTTTCAGCTAGCTGGTCTACAGCCACATTACTTGGAGCACAGACCAAAACCTGAGTGGAACATTTAATACCAGTAAATAGAAACAAAAATACATTGTGAAAAAACCAGAAGTGTTTTCAAGTGAAAGACGAAAGTAAGCAGTTCACATTTTGCAAGGCAAGGAACAGCCGCGAGCATGGGCAATATACCTTTCATGTCTTATTACTCGTATTTTAAATCAAATAAAGGTGCATGGAAGTAAATAAGTGTTTTAAAAAGTTTGCCGATATAATTCACAGTAGCATAGTATAGCATCAGAAAAGAAAAGAAAATGAGGACGACCTAATAGCACATATAATGTAAAAGCCCATTGTTACTAGTCTTAAGGTGGGCCATAAGATATAAGATAATATTATGAGACAAATATATCTTTCCCAAAAGATCTTAAATTTACTCACTTCCTTCCTCAGTTTAGGTGATATCTTAAGAGACACACCTTAAGTAGCAGTTAGCACTGGCTACCCCTAGACGAGTCTCAAAAATGCCCTTTTGAAACATTAAAAACTAGTAACTAATTTACCTGTCCCTGCCCTTGCTTGGCCATATGATACACAATTGCAGCAGAAGTGACAGTTTTCCCTGTTCCAGGCGGGCCTTGGATCAGACTTATAGGCTTTTGCAGGACACTTTTTACAGCAAAAATCTGCAGAAGTGTACAAATCAAGACACAGGAAAAACACCAACAAGTGGAGGGGAACTTCAAATGAATAATACCATTATAAGGAACATTCTGTGAACGCATTTCCAAAAATAACTCTCTGAAATACGACTAAAAGATCTACATTGATGTCTACAAAAACAAAATTAATGCTCTTCCTCACACAAATGAGATAGATGGATAGGCTCCTACACCGATTACTGTCTCATCATGTGTTATCAAACATCAACTTCAAAAATTTTACTTGTTCAAAAATACAATAAATACTTTCCCTGGGCGCTCATCTTCACTCTTACCAAAGCTATTTACTCCCTCACCGAACATCCTCATTCTCATGCACCCGTTCCTACTTTTCAGAGGAATTAAACATGTAGAGAGGTCTCTACTATCAAACCAGCCAGAACAAATTATTTGAAGCATAACCAAATCACCAGACTTTATAAAGAATAAGATTCAAGTGAGAATTATGGATAACAAGACCATACTTGAGATGCATTGAGTTCTGGAAGACCCGGAGCACCAAAACGCCGAGGCAGAGCATTACGAACCATTTGAATCTCAACTTCATGGCCAAGCAAGTGATGGTATATGTATCTGCATTGTGTGAAATATTTAAGATAAACTCATCCCAAAGAAACACGTGCAAATGAAAGTGTTAAGTATGTGGATTATTGATATCACCTGCAGACTAAGACTCTCAAAGCTAAAGTAATCAAATTTCCTCCACCGCCCCATCCCAAAGCCCAAAAAAAAAAAACAAAAATAATACAGAAATTTTTTTTAGAATAAGACGTGATCTCTTGTCAACCAATGACTTTCAAGGCAGATTTTCTAGGAAAGGTTAATTAAGTGTTGTAGCTCACCATTAGTATTTCATGACCTACACATCACACCTCAGAAACAATATTTACTACAAATACGGAAAGGATGTATCTCGCATATGCCTTTTTACATGGGAGATTGTAGGCAGTTACATAAGATGATAATGTTTTCACCTCATGCTCTATATCAGCTAAGGCAGAAAAATTACCAAAACATAAAAAGAAGGAAACAATCTTTGGGAAGAAAGAAATTGCAACATGATCGCACAGCTGAAGACTAGAAACAGGTGAAATAAAATGAACACTTGCAAATAACTTGCTATGCACTAATGCATTATGCCTTCTGGACATCACATGACGCGTAGCTATAAGAAAAACAGATTTCTCCTTTCCAAGGGAAGGGGTGGGTCCCCTTTCCTGGGATGGATAGAGTTCACTCTCAAGAACTGCATGTTCACAACACCCACCCACCCCCCGGGGCACGTGCAAAGGATCTTAGTCTCTGTCCATACACAAGCATATACAGAACAATTTATCCAAATTCTCTGTCTTAATACTTTACTAGATGTTAAATAAAGATAACAAGAAACCAAAATTCACACATTCAATCAACAAAAAGAACAAGATGAAGTGTGTAGAAATGTGGCACTCACCCACTGACACTTGTCTCATCCACAGCAAAAGTCTTCATTGCTCCCTGCATCCGATCAAAACTCGTGCTCTTCCAAACAAAATCAACACTAAAACCATGGGTAACATCGACAGGTACACCCTGCAAGCAACATGAACAGAGTGATCAACACAACTCTAAACATGGATAAAGCATTGAAGACAGAGAAACATATAAAGCAGTGAAAAATACCTGACTAGCACGAAGCTCAAGAGCAACTTCCTCTTGTGCAGTCAATTTTATCTGAGGAAAAAAAATAAACAAACGGTTGAGGATATATAAAATGCGAAACTGAATCTAAAAAGACCAACAGACACAAGCGATCTAGATCCAATTATCTTTTGGTAATAAATCGGGACCTGCTCTCACCAACAAGATGGCAGATCATGTCGCCAAAAATATATTCAGCAGTCAGTGTGATTCGCAATTATATAGGCAGTCACGATGAGTAACAAAACACAGCAGGCAACTAAATATAGAAAAAGAGGTAGCATACCACATGTCCAACAGACTGAAAAAATGGATGAGCTGCATCCCCTGAATGACGCAGCCGCAACTCATCACCAGGTACAAGGCGCAACTCATTATCTTCCTACAAAAGACATGCATTTTTCATTTAAAACGGTGAAGGCTACAAGTCAAAGAAACTAAAAGAAACACAATAATTACCTTTGGGAAAACAAAATATGCAATACGCTTTTTGTTGAGACCAATGTCCCATCGAATCGTTAGATTATCTTTGCTTTGAGACTCCTTCATCATCTGTCAAACAAAAAGCAAAACTGAAATACTCATCGAACCGTTGAGAAATAAAATATCACAGGAATGAAATGGATAATGTATCATAAAGAGTTCTTGCATTAGGACAAAGAGATGGGTTCATTCAAATAATCAGTGTTTTCTGTTTCCCATTTCTTTGGATTTTCTTCTGTAAGAGGTAGATTACAAAAAAGCACTCAAAGATGTAGTCATACCTTATCATAGTCCGCTTCAAGATTGATTAATGGTGCAAAAACATTTTGATACTACAAAGAATTGAAGAGTATTAGCATTAGTAAAACGAATAATCGTAAACGTGAGAGCCACTTTTATGGATATAGCGCAGAGCAATTCAGGTGATCTAATAGACTGTACAACTCAAATTCATTAAAAGCACCTGATATGCATCCTTGTACTTCAAAGCTACAGGCTGAGGTTCATCATCGACACCAGGCTTCTCAAGATCTTCTAAGGTAGCATCGGGATTTGTCTTCCAAAGCTCTTCTATTTTGTTTATTTGTTGTGCACTAATTTGGCGAGCTCTCAACTGCTCTTGTTCAGATGGGACCTGGAGTTTTGCAATCAATCAGAAGAATAGGATAAGAAACACTGTGTAATACTCCGGGAAATAAAATTAACAATTAACAAACCTTCACAAGCCACTGCAAGAAACATCTATCATCAATAAGCGGGCACCACTGACTCAGGTCCCAATTCATGTCTTTCAATGCATTGTTACTAAGACAAGGTTCCCTACAAAGCAGGACAACCACACTTTCTGTCTTTGCAGATATGAATCCCAGAAGGAAAACATTTCGGCATCCACAGTTGTAGCATTCAAGAATTGTTTCTCCCAGGGGACTATCTTTATGAAGACAAACTTCCTTGTGCTTTGCTCTCACCTAGAAATGGTAAAACAAAGCAAATCAAGTAACTGAACCCAGAATGAACCTTACAAAATTAGTTGAAAACGTCAATAATCGCAGTAATCCTTGAAGGCAATATAATTCTGAGGCAACAAAATTAATAGAACCATCAGATATGTAAAGCTCCTCAAACAAACATGGGTGAGTCACTGCTTCACTAATTTTACAACAAAATAGTTCATCTAAAATTCTAAAAGATCCCCTTTTGTTTTGAAATTAACCCGATAAAAAACAAATATATAGAAGTGGCAAACAAATTTAGTAAGTGCTGTTTTGTGACTGGTGAAAATTTATGAACTAACATAAACAATCCCAAAAATTCACTCTAAATACATTTATGTGTGTATAATTGGGGGTGTGATATAGAGTGCTACAGATATGTATTATCTAAGTACTTTTACTATGACTCATGATGCTTGCAAGTGGTGTCATCCAGGGCATCAGCTTGCTATAATTTCAAAAATTCATGATAGATTTTACAATCTCAACTGCTGGTAATTGTTGCAGATTCTATTGTCTTATTTTTTTCAAGAAAAAATGGTAAAAAAAATAATTGTACACGTTAAGAACCTTTCACATGCCAAGGGCATTTGAACAAATAATAACTTCTTTCTTTCGAATTTCAATGCAATAATAAAGTGGTAAAAATAAGCTACGTATAGCTATCTTCTGGTTTCTAATTATACTCTTAAGGCTCGTCTAGCACATAATTTTACCAGAGTTCACCTCACGCCAAGTGGATTTCGTTACAAGAACAAAGCATAAGTCCCCCACTAAACTTGGAAAAATCCTAGTCCCAACAATAGGCATCATGAAATAATCCAAGATAGGATCCAAGAGATCAAATTTGCATCCCATGCTTTGGTCATATGCAACAGACAAAATCGCCGTTGAAAACATGGGGTAAATCAACACCAGTTCCACAAACTGGAAAAGAAAATCTAATAAACTGAATACCATCATGTCATGTGCTTCAATGGTGTCAGGAACTACTTCGGATCATAACCCTTAAATCAAAAGGTTTTAGTCATTTGACTGTTTTCAAGAAGACTTAGCTTCAGAGAGTCAATGATGCCTATGGCCTGGATATTGATAAGTAATCCCTAAATATTGATACTCAAACCCATTCAGCTCCTTGTGTGCGACTTTTGATGCCCAATAATTAGTAAATGAAATTTTACGGCCTTTAACAAGGATTAGAATTTATTATTAGCCTCATAAATAATGTGGGAGACCGTTGAGATCGTTTCACACACTCTCACGCGTAGAAGAAAACCAATCAAATCTAAGCAAAGAATAAGCGATCAGTCATCCCCCAATAGGTCCCATATACACTAATCAAACAAAATAAGCACATATGCACTGCAAAATAAAACTTCTATATTCATTTTTGTCTTCTTCACTCACCAAATGATTGACTATGTGCGAACCAGAAGTATTCCCGCGCGAATTACAAAACCATTTCCGGCATGATGGGACATTGCAGCGAACCACACAGGCCGGGTTTGTAACACCACAGTACCTACAAGCATGCTCTGTAAAATCCCCATTTCTGTACTCAAACCCTTCGTCATCCCCAGTCTCTTCAAAAGTCAATCCCCCCATCCCTGCTGCCAACGCTTCCACCACACCTTCCTTACTATTATCAGTACCACGGGGTTTAGTCGAGGGGGAAGCATCTAACAAGGGGGCTCGGTCCGCAGCTGCGGTCTCCGATGCGGCAATTGAGTCGGAAGGTGTGGGCCACGCGGAGGAGGAGGATCGGATAGGCTGTGAGAGCTCTGGGAATTCAGCGTAATCAAACTCCTCTCCTTGCGTGTTAAATTCCAAGAATGTGTAAGCATCATTCCCTGTATCCGGCTGCGACGCCGTTTCATACAGATTGTTCGTCTGTGAATCCATAATCGACTGGAGAATCAGAGTAGATGGGATATTTAAAATTGTATTTATATCGAAGAATGACGGTTTAGGAATTTAGGGGAAAATAGAATTAAAATTGAGAAGGAAGAATGAGGGTTAGAGTTTGATGATGATGTGGAAGGGGGAATATATAGTGTACGATGAATCGGACGGTCACATAAATTGAAGAATTAAATTGAAACCATTTTTCATATCGAGTAAATTCCATAAGGTCCTTGAAGTTACGCGAACTTTTAAGTTGGTCCTTAAGTATTTTTTAAATCATATATTCTCCGAAAAATCACTATTCAAAATATTATTTTTCTCAATAATGGCCATCAAAAAGGGCCTTAAGCAATCATGTGAAAATTGATATTCTAAAAGTCCGTTTGATTGTAAGAATGAAATTTGAGTTGAAAGAAAACGAATTTCAGATAATTGAATCACTTAGAATTTATTTTACTGAAATTGTTAATTAAACGTGTTTGATTAGTATAATTTTTCACCTGAAAAATCAAACCCAACCAATTCCTCAAAAAGGTAGACCAATTGTCAAGAAAATTTGGCCAATCAAACATACAAAAAGATGAAAAATGTAATTTAATTTCCTACTTCCATAAAAAATTTGTGCAATCAAACAGGCCTAAGGATAGTTCAAGAGTTGAGTTTGATATTATAGCTTTGTTTGAAAAGATAGGATCTAGATCTTGCCATTTTACATCGAAAAATAGGAATAATTTGATCTATTTTCTCTTATGATGCTACTTCTACTCTAATAGCTTTAAGAAATTGAAGCGAAATTTAAAGTTCGTTTTTTTTTTTTTTTTTTTTTTTAACAATTTGATTGTTTAAATTTTTAGTAGATAATCGTGTAAATGAGATTGGCTCCTCATAAAGTACTAAAGCCATTAAAATGATGATGTGGACATCAATCCGTTAATTTAAGTTGTAGAATTGCAAATCGGTTCATTGAAATGTGATTGTTGGTCCAACAAGTCTTTTCTATTATCATTTTCTAATCCTAGTCCATCAATGGCTCATTTTGCAAATATGCTTTGATCCTAACTCCATTACTTCACCATTCACACACAAAGTAAAAAACACTACACATGGGAAAAAGTAGTCCAACAAGAAAAGTAATTGGCCATCTTGCATTACTAAATACTTAATAAATTGGCTAATAAGTTGAAAAAGTAGTTCAACTCGAACGTATTATCGCTTGCGTTGTCCAAAAAAATCGATTATCGCATGAGGTGAAAAAGTAGTCCAATTGAAATGTATTTGCCGCTAGTGTCATCCAAAAAGGTCGAATGGCACGTGTAAGAGGACCATATCATAGTACTAAATTCAATTAATTGATTAACAAGGTGAAGAATTCTTTGAATTCTATCCCAAAGCTACTGAGTAAAAAATCCAATGCTCAAAGCAAGTTTCAAATATAGTAAAAGCAATATGTAACAAAAATTATTGCAATTTATAGAATAGGAAAATGTTCTCAAAAATCATAACATGACTAGAAACTCCAAATTATTATTCCACTTGGGAATTTCAATACTGATCAACTAGATCATGCCTTGTACTGAGATTCAAAATGAGAAAATGAGATAAATGAAAAAACTCTCCTACAAAATAGCCGTCAAACTGAACTGAACTTGATAGGGGGATTCTCCCTGGTTCATAAGCAATATATGCATGGTTTAAGCTGCACCTTTTGTCACACTACCAATTCTATCAAGCTCTTCCAAAGCGGTCCAAAGCTTTGGATCTTCATAATCTTTAATTAGAAAAGAAGGCTTTGCTTCGATCAGCAAGTGTGCAGGATTTCCTGTCGTCAAGCCAATAACAGGCATCCCTGCTGCAACCCCCGCTTTTATTCCCGTAACAGAATCCTAGACAACCAAAAGATATATAAATTTTATGAAGTAATAGCAACTGACATTGAAAGAGTGTGGATGAGGTCAAACCTCAAATACAAATGTGTGATCCTTGGAGATATTGAGAATTTCAAGCGCCTTCAAATAGGGGTCAGGGAATGGTTTAGCATGTTCACAATCACTTCCAACAACTACAGTATGGAAGAAATCTGACAGTCCAAGAGTTGAGATCATCTGTTCAGCATTTGGTCTAGGAGCATTAGTAACAGCGGCTCGTTTCAGACCACGGTCTTCTATCCATTTTTTCAATTTGTACAAACCATTTACAGGTTTCAACTGCTCCTTAGCCAACCTTTAGTTTCACTCAAAAAAAAATATTAGTAAAGGCGGGTTAAGGAAAAAGTTGCATTAAATAAAGGAGAACAATAAAATTCACCTTCTGAACATAGCTTCCCTGTCATCACAAAGTTTTACACCCTTTTCATAATCATGAGGGAAAAGAATAGAAGCAATATCATCATTGTGCCTTCCAGCAATATTCATGATAAAGAATTCCTTATCAATTGGGACGCCACCATTGAAGCCAATCTGTTAAATATCTCAGCATTTTTAAAAAGCCCGTAGAGCATTGATGAGATGCATTGAAATTAGTTAGGTGTTTTTACTGTATCTACATAATCAACAAGCGCTTTATGAGAAAAGAATCTATTTTTTCTCCATGCATGACGATGTCTGATTGGCAATATCATTATAAAAGTAAATGACAAAGAATAGTCACACCTCCTGAAGCATTTCACGGAAAGCATAATAGTGGAGGGGATCTGAATCGCACAAAGTTCCATCAACATCAAATAGCACTGCCTCGACAGGAGCAAGTTGAGACAGAGAACAAGTGCTGTTTAAGAGAAAAAGGCATCAATAAGTTCCCCTTTAACTGTTTTCAACCAATAACATAAATAGATTATTCTCTTGATCAAAAAAGCATCCAATTCGGAGTACATCAACTTTTACAAAATTTTGTAACCACGGCAAAATAGCTGTAGAGAACCTCAATCTTCTTTATACAATAAGAACTAACAAAATTGACATCATTGATTTCGAAAACATTCTTCTGATCACTTCCTTGGTAACCAATTACCACACAGATTGTTGGTGCTTAAAAATATTCATTTTCAGCTCTATCAGAGGTGAGAACCATATTCCTGGTATCAAAATTTCTCCTCACATTTAGCATCTTCAAACCGTGATTAAATCCATCAGGCAGAAAATGGAATTTGCAAATGGAGATATTCAGGCAGCATAAGGATTTAGAATAAAGTCATTTGGTATTCACATTGATAGTAAAATCATAGGGTATCTATGAAAAAATTAATATAATTGACATAAGCAAACATAGTCAAAGAAAAAAAGTATATGCAGACATAGTTGAAAGAAACAGGAGACCCATAGAAATCGAAAAAAGCACGTGGTAGGCCTGAAATGAAGCCGGATGAGCTAATTAAACAAACTGGCACCAGAAACATCAGACAAACGTAATTGTAAAACAAATTCAATTTTCCGATAGAGATTTGGAGTTAAATGGGCCTACGTGAATGAAATAGCCAGGCGTCAAACTTTCAGCATTTTCAAGTTATTACACGAGAATGTAGCAAATTTAACCGAAATTCAACGATCTATAAGCTAATGGCCATTTAAATTCATTCCAATAAAATAAAATAAAAAATAAAAAAAAAAGAGTGAAAGATGGTTTATACTCTAATATTCTATCACAGAAGGAAGAAACATATATTTGAATCAAAGCACGAAAAGAGAGAATATTTGCATAACCTCACCTGTTTTCACCCGAAGAAATTGTCATCCTTTGATGCAGGCACAAATTTCACGAAATGTGATGCAAATATTGGTAATCTCCCGAGAAATGGGAATTTATAAATCCGGGTCCGGGTCGAGGACAGGTCAAGTCATGGGTGGAGAAGGTGGAGGGAATCTTGCACCGAATCAGGCGTGAAGGGCCTTCTCTCACTGGCTGACAATTTTTTCTCACTCAGTTGACAAGATGAATTTTTTTATTATTTTTTATATATTTTTTACAATGTGTAGTCGAAAAATGAGAAAAAAAATTTGAATTTACGCGTAAAATTAATTAATTGAAGATATTTGATTGTCAATATGAAAAATGCATTTTCTCTATTCAAATTCTTACTTTTGTGCTATTTGATTGCAATTTTTTTCATGGAAAATATTTTCCTTACTTTAAGTCACGTAATCATATTTTCCTCGCAATCAAGGATAATATTTTTCTTATTTTCTTTCCATCCAGATTTCATACTTACAATCAAACGCACCTTGAAATTAACTTTTGAAAAAATGATTTTTTTTTTTTTTTTGAAAAATGAAGCCTAAACAAAGACTTAATCATGCCTAGCCACATCACTCGCATATTCCTTGTTTGTGAGCAACTATTTAGCCTTTCTCGTAGAAAAATTATAGTCTGATTCCAAATAGTTGAACCTTGTGATATTAGTGTTGGAATAATTAATAATTTCATATATGATCTTCATATGATAATTGTGTTTAGGCCAAATTTATTAAGTGATCAATTGGGCCTTTTACACCTTACGGGTTATAATTAATTTGATATGGTAATTTAAAGTTCCGAAAATAAACCTTAATTAAAATTCTAGTCGTAATGGGACGGCTCAAATTATTTCCTATATATAAAGGATAGGTCCCCTCTCCTCTCCATATATTTCATTAGCTTGCCCCATTGATAGCTATTACTTTGTGAGGAGCAAGAAGGGGAAGATTTTGACTGCTATTACAATTATAATTCATATCAACAATGCCTTTCGCAGGTATGAATTTGTTTATATTAATTTATTATATGGTGATTCTTGATTCTTAGCATGATTATAAATAAATATTAACAATTGGTATCAGAGCTTTCATACTAAGATCAGAATCCATCATTAAAACAATATTCTTTCTTTGAATGAATAATTTTAAAGTTTTTGCTACCTGTCAATTTAAATCTTTGGAATTGTTCTGTTTTCAAAGTTTAAAATAATAATGAGGTTCAACTTTCCACGTGTTCTGTGGAATATAGATTCATTGAATAAACATGGATAAAGATATCCAAAATCCCAATCGTTTCTAGAACTAAGTCTGCAAACAGAACGGATTTGGCTCTTGGATAAGTGCAAGTGTACAAGCAGTCTTCCACCCTGTACCCTTGGAGGCATAACCTGCGATTTACCTCCCTCACGATACTCCAAGACAAGGGTGGTGGGGACCCTTAAAATTTGGGTTTAACCTTTAAGTCTGCAAACAAAATGTGTAAAACACTACCTCTCTCACCTCTGTATTTCTCAAACCATTGAATGAAGGAAATTAATTCAACTTGCCAATTGCCAATTGATGGTAATGTCAAATCCCAAATCAATTATCATCATAGTTGGTTGTCGGCTATTCCTTTTTTTTTTTTTTTTTTTGTTTTTGGTATTTCATTTTTATTTTTATTTTTTATTTTTTTTTTCCTTTGATGAATTAATTGCGATGAGAATTGATGTTATTGAAGGAAGAAATCTATTGAATTTGGAATAGAAGAAAAAGAGCCAGCAGCCATTGTTATATGTTTGCATTTTTTTATTTATTTATTTTTTTCCCTTTCTTATTAATGTTGAATCTGTATGATGTTTAAGAAGGAATTGAATCTATATGATGTGCAAATCGGACAGTGATTTTTGTCAGGGTTTGAGAAAGAAGCAAAATTGGGCGGTGGAATTAAGGCTGTTTCGGTCGGCTGTGATGTTTTTGGGGAAGGGGTCTCTCTTGCAATTAATGAGATGAGAGGACCCTGTCTGCAATTAAAGATTGGGGTTAAGATTGTAAATAATAAAAGGAGGACATGTCATCTAATTTATATAATTAAAAGGGCATATTAATAATTTTAGACCAGGGGTCATGTTGCAAATTTTTAAATGGGTTTTGACTCTAAAAATTTCAATTTTGACCCAAATTAAAAATTTTATTTAAAATTGACCCGTTTAAAATAATAATAATAATAATAATTGACAACTTTTATATTTTCATTAAATGTATAATTATTGTTGTTATTATTTGTTCGTTAAATTTCGCCTTTTATATATTAAAATTTTGTTGCCAATTTTAGTTCTCAATCACTGAATTTTGTCATTCATCGATTAATTATTATAATTGTACCATGATTATTATTTTGTGATTGAATTTTTCTATGGGCCTTGCGACGATTCTTGATTTCCCACTAAAAGAAATATTTTGAAATAAAAATGGGTGATAGCTGCCAAAGTGGCACACTCATTATTATTAATTCGATTTTCTCTACAATAAAAATACATATATTTTTGCCCAACAACTTTTGATTTATTGCATATAATATCTTGCCCAAAGATGTTATTATATGTAATATTTTTGGAAAATGGCATGAGAAAGTTAACGAGTTTATTTTGGTTTAGAAATTTCCTTCTGCCCAAAGGTGTCGGTGTTTCGAAAACCAGTGTAATTTTGTTAACTGGCTGCATGATGTGTTTTAAGAGTACCTTATAGCATGTTGTATTGTCGACCCAAATGTGACTTTATGATAATGCACCTAGACTCTTACCGTAATAAAATTCATATGTTTCGATTTAAATTACGGATTATCTAATTAATAGCCCATATTAATTAGTTGGATATTTCATCATCCATTTGATTTCATGCATTAAGTTTGGATGATATTAAGAGTGTGATATTTTATGTTTCCACAGTTTATAATGCCTCATCTCTTTCGAATCAATTGTCTGCTATTGAAACATTGACTGGGAATAACTATGTGAGATGGAAACGAGACGTAGAAATAGCACTTGGTCTTTTGGGCTTGAATTTTGCAATGGAGAAAAAGCTTGAAAAACCCACAGATAAGAGTACCGTTGAATATGTAGCCAAACATGAAAAGTGGGAAATGGCTAACAAACTCTGTTTGAAAATCATTAAGCGATCGATATCTGATTCCATTTTAGGTACCATCCCTGATAATGAAAATGCCAAAAGTTTTGTGGATGCCATAGGAAAAAAAATTTGTTGAGTCTAATAAAGCTGAAACTGGGGATCTGATGGATAGATTTATGAGCATGAAATATGATGGTACAAGTGGCGTTATGGAGCATGTCATGAAAATGATAAATATATCATCTAAGCTAAAGGCTCTTGACATTCCCGTTGCGGAGCCTTTCCTGGTCTATCATGTTTTGAATAGCCTTCCTAGCAAGTTTAATCAGCTTAAGGTTGCTTACAATGCTCAGTGGGATAAGTGGAATTTGAATGACCTCATAGCAGTGTGTGCCCAAGAAGAGTATAGGATGCGCCGTGAAACTGTTGAAACTGTGCAATTAGCTTTTCAGCCATCACAGAATAAGGGGCCTTCTCATAATCATAAATCTAAGTTTCGTAAGGGTAATAAGTCCCATCGAAGCAGCAAAATAATAATTTTAGTGGTCCCAAATGAGTTATAAAGAAAAATGATCAATGCAAATTCTGTAAAAAGAAGGGTCACTGGCAGAAAGACTGTTTTAAGTTCAAGACTTGGTTGGAAAAGAAGAAGAGTTCTTCAGGTATTCCATTGGCCTTAGTTTGTTTTGAGTCTTCTTTAGTAGATGTAATCTTGAATTCTTGGTGGTTAGACTCGGGAGTTAGTATTCATATTGCGAATTCCTTGCAGGGTTTCATAAGCAAACGGAGGTCAAGTGAGAATGAAGTGAGCTTGAGCGTTGCAAATGGATTCTAAGTGAAGGTTGAATTCATAGGAGTAGTGAAGTTAATTTTAGAGTCTGGTTTTTATATTGTTTTGGAAAATACAGTTTATGTACCGCAGATGAGACGGAATTTAATTTCTATACCAAAACTTGATGTTTGTGGTTTTACATTTAATTTTGGTAATGGAATGGTTAAGTTATTTAATGATTCTCGTTTGATTGGGAATGGCATTTTATGTGATGGTTTATATAAATTATCTTTGGCTTCTTTTGGTGATGTCTCATGTGTTACAAATGTATCAAAGAAAAGGGCTTTAATTCATGAATCATCCTCTATGTTGTGGCATAAGCGATTGGATCATATTTCTAAGGATAGAATGGAAAGATTAGTAAAAGATGAGATACTTCCTTCCTTAGACTTCTCCGATTTTGACACCTGTATAAATTGTATAAGAGGAAAGTTAACTAAGTCTACGAGGAAGGGTTCGACTAGGAGTAATGGAATTTTGGACTTAATTCACACTGATATCAATGGACCTTTAATTTTCGCTGTATGTGGGAATAAATATTTCATAACTTTCATTGATGGTTTCTCACGATATGGATATGTTTATTTGATTAACGACAAATCACATGCACTTGAGAAATTCAAAGTTTTCAAACTGGAAGTAGAGAAACAATGTGGGAAAAATATCAAAGTTGTAAGATCTGACCGAAGTGGTGAGTACTATGGGAAATATGATGAGTCTAGTTAAAATATGGGTGATTTTGCAAAATTTTTACAAGAGCGTGGAATAGTGCCCCAATACACCATGCCAAGGACACTTGAGCAGAATGGTGTTTCTGAAAGACGTAATCGAACTCTAAAAGATATTGTTAGAAGTATGATGAGTAGAACAAATTTGCCTGAATATTTGTGGGGTGGAGCCTTGAAAACAGCTATGTATATTTTGAACAGAGTTCCAAATAAAGCTGTTGCAAAGACACCTTTTGAATCGTAAGCCAAGTATGGCCCACTTTAAAGTTTGGGGATGTCCAGCTGAGGTCAGGATTTATAATCCATTTGAAAAGAAATTAGACCCTAAATCAACTCCTGGCTACTTTATTGGGTATCCGGATAGATCAAAGGGATATAAGTTTTACTGTCCAAATCGCGGCACTAGAATTGTGGAGTCTATTACTGCTAAATTTCTGGAGAACGATTTTGGAGACAGTGGAAGTTCCACGTTGAGAAAAATTCTTGTTGAACCCAATCAAGTTGTTGTTCC